TCTCTCTCTCTCCCCCCTTGTTGGCCTCAAGTCATTTATTCGATATGGGTGAAATAGGTCCATCCTCGATACGTACGCCTTGCAGTGAAATTGCTCAAGACATCAATAATCAAGTAAGAAAGGCTTGAACACTCTGACGCCCTTTACTTATAACAAGTCTTTGCAGTAAACATTGCACTGGTTATTATTACTTTCATTGCCTTACAGTGTGGAGTCGAGTGAGATTGATTTATCTGAATTCCAAGAAGAGAATAATGAAGAGGATGTTGATGGTAACACTGGCAATGGAGACGATGATGCTTCAGGTCATGCCGAGATGGATTTGAATGGGGCAGGATCTCAGCCGGCTTCTGAAAACAAAGGTCGGTAGTTTTGCACTCGCACCATGCATCTTTGTTTTTTAGCTCCTTTATCATGCAAAACGACTTTAAACGTATTCTCGTTATGCAGAAAATGCAGATAATAACAAGTCAGGAAAGAAGCTTGTGATAAGTGATGAGTACTTTCAGAGGGTTACTCGAGCCCTTGTCATGCGGCTCAGACAACACGAAGACTCTTTAGTGCATGGAGGTGATGAGCATGCCAAATGTCAATTACTTGAATCCTTTTAGGCACACTACTGACCGTCAACACCTATCTTCTAAAACTAATTTCTAAAATTTATGATATTTGATCAAAGATAAACAAATAACAATAATTTAAGTAACGGTAAAAAAGAACCTTCTGAAACTTTAAGAACTAAATTCTGTAATAGAAACTTTAAGAACTAAAATTCTGAAACTAGAACCCTGTTGATTGAAAAAAAAAAATTAAATAACTGATCTTTTTTTTTGATGGAATTTTTACCATTAATCGATTTGGAATCAGTTTTTATGTTTGTTCTCTACTTATCCCCTGTTGTTAAGATAGTTGCAACCTATGATTTGTGCAGGTACAGGACTGGCTGGTCTAAGGCAGAGGGAATTGGTCCAGTGGTACGTCGAACAACAGAACGAGAAAAACAATTATAGTTCCATGGACGAGGCCGCAGCCGAAGTCACCAAACTGAAAGCCATTATCGAGGTAAAAGCTGCCACATATATTTGGACACTCGATACACCTAAAACATTTCGACTCATTTATCTTTGCAATGCACGTTTAAGTCATTTTCCGCTTCATTTGTTGTTGATGCGTGTTTTGCAGAGCTTGATACGAAGGGAAGGGTATCTAATAGTTGTGGATGATGGCAGAGAAGATGTTGGAGATGGCGAAAATGCTCGGCCCCCATCAAGAAACGAACGGATTTTAGCCGTGGCGCCAAATTATGTCCCAGATTCATAGAGAATTATGCGAAATATGTGTTTTTCGATCTTTAATTATTGATTGGTGAGAGACTAAATGTGTTTTGACATGCACACTGTATTACTTAAAAGCATTTGTGATAGCTGCAACAATCTTGTACATTTAAGGAGGCTTCTGCTAAAAAATGGGGTAGTTATTAAAGCAATTTGTATTTTTTTCCCTCTTAACTTAGCAACCAAACACCCCTCTTTTAGTGTTTGTGTTTATTATTCTTATATCATTTTTTTTTGGCATTTTTTTAATATATCTTATATTTTTTGATGTTTTGAATAATTTATATAGATACGGACTTCTATCCATATTTATTAGAACTTTTTTAAATTATAAGTGCATTGTATAACTTTAAATATAAATATATTTTATATAAGTCAATAATTTTTGTATTTTTTTATTAGATTTCATATATAATATATCAAATTAATTCTTTATTAACATTTGATATCCATAGTACTTGTACGGATTTATATGTTTCTCCTTCATAACGAATTTATATTACCTAATCATAATAATTTAAAAATACTAAATCATTTATCAATTAAATAAAATTTATATATCAAGTTCAATATACGAGTTAAAAATTATTATATAATATAGGAGTAAGTATAGGTATCATTTTAAATATGTATTTATTTAATAAAATATTTTGAACTTAAATAAAACTATGATATAATAATATGTACGCATTTTTTATTCGGGTAAATTGCGCCGAACCCCCCTGTATTATACGAAATCTGCGCGTTATCCCCCTGTATTTTAAAAATTGCGTCGTACCCCCTTGTATTATACTAACTGATGCACACGCTCCCTTGTTTCAAATTTTCCGTTAACGGCGTTAATTTTTTCGTAAAATTCCCGTTATACCCTTCGAATATAATATATATATACATGATATATTGAATTTCTCGCGATATATTCAATTTATCACGATATATTCATTTTATCACGATATATTGAATATATCGCGAGAAATTGGCTAAAAAAAATATGCTGAGTGAGGGTTTCGAACCATGTACCTCATTAAAGAAAAGGAGCATTGCCACCACCCCACCAAGCTAAGACAACTGTGAGATTTAAGAATGTTTGATATATATAGGCATAACATGTGTATAAATCAAATTAAAAATTTTAAAGATAATGTAACTTATATTAAATAAATTAATAAACTCTAAACTTATAATAAATTAAAATATAACAAACTAGATTATTTAAATTAAACTTTTATTTTTTATTATTTTACATTTTACTATTTAATATTATTTTAATTTAGTTAACAAATTTTATTTATGTGTTAACTTAATAAATGATATAAAATTTAAATATATTTATTTGAATACTGTATGTCATTAATACTACTTACTAAAAAGTGATAATGCAAAAAAGTGATAATTTATTTCTAATTAAAACTACTTACTAAAAAGTGATAATTTATTTCATTTTTTTCATTAATACTGTATGTCAAAGTAAATAATGCAAAAAAATATTTGATAAATAATGTTTTTAATTATATTATATTAATTTAATATTATAACTTATTTTTATTAATTATTTTATAATATTAAATTTTCTTAATTATTTTATTTGTTTTAATTTACCATTTTTTTAGATATTATATTTTTTTTATCTTATATCTAATTTTTTATGATATTTTAACTTGTCTACTCTAATTTTATTTATTTATTAATTTATTATTGTTATTATTATACATTTCCGAATGTATATAATTAACTTTATTTTTATAAACAAAAATTATAAATTTATTTAATTTTAATTCATGCTACTGTAAGTAATTTCATTTTACTTTACTTTAATTTATTTTTCATTATTTTTATTTTAATTTAATTTATTTCAATTTATTATTATTATTTCATATATATTAAATTTACCCATTATATATTTTTTTTAATTTGTTTGAAGTATTATAAAAGCATTTGTGTTCAATTCCTACACAAGGATGTATCTAGCCTAGTGGTTTAATGTGTGGGCTTTTCTCATAAGGGTCATAGGTTCTAATCCTCCCCTTGTTTTTTAATTTTCTCAATAAAATTCAAGTATTAAGGGGCAAAATAGTCATTTCCCTGAGTTTATGGCGAAGAAATGGAGAAAAAGTCGCACCATACGCGCGTGAAATGCATTGCTGTCAAGTTAGACGGTTTAGGGGATAACGCGCAATCAAAAGTATAATACAAGAGGGTACGACGCAATTTTTAAAATACAGAGGGATAACGCGCAGATTTCGTATAATATAGGGATGAAAACGGAAACGGTAATTTCCGATTACCGGGAATCGTTTTCGAAATTTTTTCGGATTTGGAGGCTAAACGGAAACGGAAACGGTAACCGAAAAAACGTAAATGGAAACGGTAAAAAAATACGGAAATGAAAACGAAAACGGTTTAGCCCTTTTTCGATCGTTTTCGAAAATTACCGTATTTAAACGGTATTTTACCGTCGGTAATACTGGCCCAACCCATATTAGACTCATTTTTAATTATAAAGCCCAATCCAAATCCCAAATTGGCCAAATGCCCAAATGCCCAAATCCCCTTCAGCTCAACCCTTCTACAGTGTCC